ATGCACGTCTTTTACATAAATAACAAATCTATACTGTATTATCGACAAATAATAATATTTTCAATGATTGTTGATCGCAAGTTTGTTGCCGAAGTTTAACGGATCGTGACATTGATACACAATCAACACAGAGCATGTTGACCACGTTGACCACGTGCAAAATAAGTTAATTATTAGAGCCATGATATAATTTTTTTATATTTTCCATGCATTCCCGTTTGTTAATTAAACTTACGATTTGGTGTAATAAATTTGTTCTTAATAATCAGATATTACATTGTCCCCGTTTGTTTATATTCTTTCATCACGGTTTTTCCTCCCACTTGCGCTGTGCGGTTGCCGAAGATCTAACGAGAGGTCTCGTAGTTAAGGTTACTGCATACGGAAAATAAATGTGGATAGTGTCCACATGTGGACACATATGATGCCCCCGCTTGCATATCATATAGTTATAAAGGGACATAACTGAAGAACGGTAAAAGTGACGCTACCCAAATTTGAACTTGATCTGAGTATTGTGGTAATAAGCATTGTGTGTAAGTCTCATAACATTTGGTTGAGGCTAACTTTAGTAGAGAACAGAAACTAATAAAATGCTTCGCTGGGGCGCAGCTTGATACGACCCCAGAGGTCGAACCCTGAACAGTTGGGGCAAGTATGGACACAACATTCAAGCTTGATACAGCACTGAATTTGGATTGTAATTAAATATTTGACACAGCATAAGTTTCTGACACAGAATGAATGTGGTCTAAGAACTTAAAAAAAATTTAATTTACCTATTCAAACCATATCATTTTTATTTGCTTTTATATATAAAACAGAAATAACCAATTTAAAATGGAAAATTTTAAAGAAAAAAACGAAAAAAAAATCCCTCCAAAAATTTTTTGAACCCCCTTATGATTCATCACCCCAAAACTCAATCCCAGCCTTCCCTTTGTGGTATGGTACCTTGCAGTACAATTTCAGAGAGATCCATACACTTGAACACAAGTTATTGTCTGGAAACTAGAAAAATGCTTGTTTTTTTGCCCCTTTTTGGCCCCAAATTCCTAAACATTTAGGGCAATTACTCCCAAACTTAAACCCAGCTTTCCCTTTGTGATATGGAACCTTGCAGTACAATTTCATAAAGATCCATACACTTACACACAAGTTATTGTCCTGAAACTAGAAAAATGCTTGTTTTTTTGCCCCTTTATGGCCCCTAATTCCTAAACTTTTGAGGCAATTACCCCCAAAATCAATCCCAGCCTTCCCTTTCTGATATATGGTACCTTGCAGTACAATTTCAGAGCGATCCATACACTTGAACACAAGTTATTGTCTGGAAACTAGAAAAATGCTTATTTTTTGCCCCTTTTTGGCCCCTTATTCCGAAACGTTTTGGGCAATTACCCCCAAACTCAATTCCACCTTTCCCTTTGTGATATGGAACCTTGTAGTACAATTTCATAAAGATCCATACACTTACATACAAGTTTTTGTCCTGAAACTAGAAAAATGCTTGTTTTTTGCCCCTTTTTGGCCCCTAATTCCTAAAATTTGGCGGCAATTACCCCCAAAATCAATCACAGCATTCCCTTTGTGATATGGAACCTTGTGGTACAATGTCAGAGAGATCCATACACTTACACACAAGTTACTGTCATGAAACTAGAAAAATGCTTGTTTTTTGCCCCTTTTTGGCCCCTAATTCCTAAAATTTGGAGGAAATTACCCCCAAAATCAATCCCAGCATTCCCTTTGTGATAAGGAACCTTGTGGTACAATGTCAGAGAGATCCATACACTAACACACAAGTTATGTCTGGAAGTTACAAAAATGCTTATTTTTGGCCCTTTTTTGGCCCCTAATTCCTTAACTGTTGGTTCCATAACCCCCAAAATCAGTCCCCACCTTCCTTTTGTGGTATTGAACCTTATGGTAAAATTTCATAGAGATCCATTCACTTAAACTAAAGTTAGAGTGCGAAAACAAATTTGTCTTCGGACGACGACGACGCCGGACGAAGACGACGACGACGACGACGCCGGACGACGACGACGACGCCAACGTCATACCAATATACGACCGCAAAATTTGTTTGCGGTCGTATAAAAATTCAGCAATTTTTCTATTTGTAAACACGCATAACTCTAGAACGGTTGTGTATAAGTTTTATAACATTTGGTTGAGACAAACTAAAGTTAGAGAACGGTAACGAAAAATTCAGCAATTTTTATGTTCATAAAGGGACATCACTCAAGAATGGTAAAAGTGTCGCCACCAAATTTCGTATTTAATCTGTATTATGTAGTAATAAGCATTGTGTATAAGTTTCATAACATTTGGTTGAGGCAAACTAAAGTTAGAAAACGGAAACAAAAAATGTGTACTTGATCTTAGTTTTGTGGTAATGAATATTGTGTATAGGTTTCATAATGTTTGGTTGGGGCAAACTAAAGTTACAGAATGGAAACTAAAAATTTTGCAATCTTTCAATTTATAATGGGGCATAACTCAATAATGGTTAAATTGACACTACCCAAATCATGCAAATTCAACTTGATCTGTGTTTTATCAGTGGAAGTAAAAAATTACTTGATATTTAGAAGAAAATAAAAATTTTGCAATTTTTCCATTTATAAAGGGGCATAACTCTAGAACAGTAAAGGTGACGCCACCAAAATTCAAACTTGATCTGTGTTTTGTGGTAATAAGCAGTGTGTATAAGTTTCATAACATTTGGTTGAGGCAGACTTAAGTAATAGAACGGAAACTAAAAATTTTGCAATTTTTCCATTTATAAAGGGGCATAACTCTAGAACGGTTAAAGTGACGCTACCAAAATTCAAACTTGATCTGTGTTTTTTGGTAATAAGCATTGTGTATAAGTTTCATAACATTTGGTTGAGGCAAACTTAAGTTAGAGAACGGAAACTAAACATTTTGCAATTTTTCCATTTATAAAGGGGCATAACTCTAGAACGGTTAAAGTGACGCCACAAAAAATCGAACTTGATCTGTGTTTTGTGGTAATAAGCATTGTGTATAAGTTTCATAACATTTGGTTGAGGCAAACTCAAGTTAGAGAACGGAAACCAATTTTGGAACGTACGTACATACGTACGTACGGACGGACAAGGGTAAAACTTAATGCACCCACCGCTACGGCTGGGGCATAAAAATATCAGCGAATTAGTGTACGGGAAGACAATAATTCCATTGTAGTACATTTACGAAGATTTGATAAGATAAAGGATTTTCTTTTACAAGAAAGTTCACGTACACTTGTTTTATAGTAAAACTTTGCCATTCAAGTATATAAAACATATTCAATTATTTTTTAATTTGAAGTTTCATATGACTTTAAACCAAAACTTTAACACACTTTACACACAACTTTAACCCATCACATTTCTTGGTTCAGTTAAATGTGAAAAGTCAAAACCCTTATTCAGCATATACATTAACTAGTTCACTTCATAATCATGATAATGAAGATGTGTACTAAGTTTGGATTTGTTTTGAGTACAAACTACCTTAAACCAAAATTTTAACTGGATATGGGATCGATTTATGGACGGACAAACCAAGAGACCAGATTCAATATGAAGTGTGCTATTAAGGGGCACAATTGGTGCCCATAGGAATACCTACATCCTGTCGATAAAATTTATTGTCAAAAGGTACATAGATGTTGTAAATTTTATTTGCTGTAACTCGTATAAAGCCTGCTTCGGTAATAAAAAAAGGTAAATATGCTAGATATACTTACTGGAAATGTGATGAGCTGATTACAGCTGTAAATTTTTATCCTTGTTTCTTAACATTTTTCCTTTTTTTGGACGATGATGCTCCTTTGGCCACATCTTTTCATGTTTACATATGCCTGTGTCTGTATATGTAGTGACGTTATATATTTCAATGAACGTAATCTATGTATCACTGATAAATTATTAAGTCAGTGACTTCGCTACAACTGAATACTTCAAACACTTTACCTTATTCTTTTATAGATACACAGATTTGGTTTGAACGTTTGGCTGTTTGAATATTTTTTTATCGGTACTTAAATTTATTTTGTTATCAATAAATTAAAAATAACTAAATATGTATTGCTATGAAGTTTTGAGCACTTACGGTCCTACATCCTGTCAATACTTATATTTTGACATTGCATAAGGTCATGTTTTTTTCCGACGGTTGGGTCTTTTCAATTTAATCATTTCATGTGTGTGTACTTAATAATATTTTGTCTTGGATATGTGATTATTGTAATAGTTGTAATCGGCTTTGAATAAGCTTTCAGTGACTGTGAGTACTCTCAGATAGGCACTTTGTATCTTTAGTCTTTTTCTTAGTTGTTATTTTGTGCTTTGTATCGTTGCGATGAGTCAAGATTTTAAAACAGATTTTTACAGTTTGTTTTCTATGTTATGTTATTACACTGTCCCAGGTTATGGTTAGGGTTGGGCGCCTGCAAATATGTTTGACTCAGCCACATTCTGTATTATGCCTGTCCCAAATAAGGAGCGTGTAATATGGTGGTATCGTTTGTTGCTGTACATCATATTTGTTTTTCGATTACAGTTTTGTACATAATTCAGGTCGTTGGTTTTCTCGTTTAATTTGTTTAAATTTTCTGATGTCCTTTTATACCTTACTATGCAGTATGGGTTTTAATTCATTGTTAAAGGCGGTACAGTGATCTATAGTTGCTAACATCTACGTCATTTGGTCTCTGGTGTATAGTTGTCATGGACAATAATACCACATCATCTTATTTTTATATAGAAATGTCTTTTCAAGGCAATTCAGAATAAATATGTTTTAGGGTTAGATCTGATTCATTTTTGGAATATTTAACAATTTATTATAGAAGTGGATGTGGCATGATCCCTATGTGCAAATAGAAAATCGTGCGATGCAAAAAAAATATAGAAAAGATAAATCTGACCAGTTTAGCTCTTGTGAGCTAAAATTTTACACAAATTTATTAAATATAATCTTACTTCAGCTTTCAGTACAGTTCTTGTAGTGAAATCTTTTGCACAGTCAATGAAACACATTTCTGTCAATCTGTTATACTGTGATAAAAATTCTTTGAACTGAAAAGTAATTTTTGAGCAATTTAGGTATATCAATTTTCAGAGAAAACAACATGAAAGTATGAATTGAGATCGCATCTTATTACTTTTTTTTTTCTAGATCAAATTTTTCCTTAGTAATTTATCTTTTATATAAATGATATATTATGATATCTGCAACCGATAATGTCAAATGGTAAAGTTGGAGTCAACTCTGTAAAAGTTTTTATGGACGCCATCATGATTTGGTTTGACCACCAATGGAATATCTGTGTAAAAGATATGTTCCAGATGTTGTAGTCGCAGTCCCATCCTGACTTCCTTGATTGCAACATCGGTATCAGGTCATTCAAGCCCCAAATCAATCCGGCCTAATTATTATAAGTCGTTCCGGCCCAATAATAAAATAATGAATAATTACTACAAAAGTCAAAGAGGTTTGGGAGGTTTGCGAAATATTTGATTCAGGGTAAGTGGCAACTTGCACATGAAAAAGTTGTGTACATTTCTCTAATGATCCGAGGCATATTTTTAGGAAACAGTATTGATGATCAAAGACGGCAAGTAAGTATCTCTTTAATGGAACATTACCCAATTTGAAATTCATAACATATCAAAAAAGGAGGTTTGTGTGCATCAGATTGATGATCAGCTTGTCTCAGTGTAACTAAATGTTATAGACTGTTAAGATCAAATGCATATGAAAAATTGAGGAATAAGTAATGTTGACTGTTTTTTATAATTATAAATGTGTCAATGCTACAATGGTACCAACAGAAAATCCAGGGGATGGCCACATCGTACAGGGAAGAAGACACTTACATGAAACCCGGTATGAATACAGAAAGAGGAAAGCCATTGAATAAAAGGAAAATGGTATAAAATACTTTATTATTTATTTCATTTTAAATATGTTAATTTTATCATGGACATATTATACATATACAATTTAGCTTTCCTCATACATTTTTTATTTATTCTAAAAATATTTGCAATTGGTTTTAAATCATCATTAAGTTAAATTTAATAATATTTTTTGTTTTATTTCAGATACTCAGGACACCAGCAACAACACAAGGATAAGCATTGCCCTCAGACAGAAAGACAGGTGCCTGAAAGTAATGAAGATGACCAAAGAGCAACTGAAGACAGAAATACAAAACCAATCAGAAGTAATCAGCATAATGCGTCAGCATACAGACATGGACACAAAGACAATTGACCAAATGAGAATCACCCTTCTAACAGCATCAACATATGAACGTTTCTAATTTATTTTTGTGATTTCTTTGTATATGTTCTTATATAATTTATTATTTATAAATTTAATTATGGCTTTGTTATAGGGAATTTTGTGATTTCTTTGTCTATTTTCTTGTGTAATTCATTGTGTATTAATTTAAGTATGTTTTTGTTTTCATGAAAAAATAAAAGTATAAAGCAACACAGTCTCAATTTTTATATCTGCCTAAATGCATTGGAATCAAAAAACACCTACAAGTTGTTAATAAAACACATCAATAAATAATAACAAACTCCATTGATTTTTTGATTTTTTTTGGTATGACTGCCAATGAGACATCTATCCACAAAAGACAAAACATGTATCTTTATAAACACAGCTACAGATCAAAACTTAAGATTTAAAATAAATGTGGATTGTGTCCACATGTGGACACAGATGATGCCCCCGCTTGCATATCATATAGTTATAAAGGGACATAACCGAAGAATGGTAAAAGTGACGCTTCCCAAATTTGAACTTGATCTGAGTTTTGTGGTAATAAGCATTGTGTGTAAGTCTCATAACATTTGGTTGAGGCTAACTTAAGTAGAGAACATAAACTAAAAATTCAGCAATTTTTCTATTTGTAAACACGCATAACTCTAGAACGGTTGTGTATAAGTTTTATAACATTTGGTTGAGACAAACTAAAGTTAGAGAACGGAAACGAAAAATTCAGCAATTTTTTTTATAAAGGGACATAACTCAAGAATGGTAAAAGTGACGCCACTGAATTTCGAACTTAATCTGTATTATGTAGTAATAAGCATTGTGTATAAGTTTCATAACATTTGGTTGAGGCAAACTTAAGTTAGAGAACGGAAACAATATTTGTACTTGATCTTAGTTTTGTGGTAATAAGTATTGTGTATATGTTTCATAATGTTTGGTTGGGGCATAACACAAGAATAGTTTAAGTGACGCCGCCAAAATTCAAATTCGATCTGTGTTCTGTGGTAATAAACATTGTGTATAAGTTTGATAACATTTGGTTGAGGCAAACTTAAGTTAGAGAACGGAAACCAATTTTGGGACGTACGCGACGGACGTACGTACGTACGTACGGACGGACAAGGGTAAAACTTAATACCCCCTCCGCTTCGGCGGGGGCATAAAAATAGACAAGACCCATGACGTTTACATACAATGAAAAACAAATATTAAAGACAAAGGCCAGAACAACCTCTAAAGTTCATACACCAGCGTCTTGGGACAAATACGTATAACACTAAAGTGAGGTTAAATGTATTCTACAGTTAAATACCAGTTGTGAATCCAGAATTTTGATGGGGGTGGGGTGAAGAATATTTTGTTAGACATCATAAATTCCAAATAAACATTTTAATTAATGATTAGAATGATTCCTTTTGGTTGAGTTTTCCTCATAAAATTAGAATCAAATGAACATGTCACTTACTATATTTATTAACCATTATTGTTTAAGGACATTATTCAGAGTATATTTAATTATTTATTACAATAAAATTATATTTTTTTTAGGTATCATGAGGAATAAATGAAACTCGAAACATGGTTAATGCTGTTCTACGAGATGGATCAATTGAAGCCATGTCGGCAAAAGTTACATTAATGAACTAAATTTTCCTGTTATAAAGGCAGTGCAAACATATACCAAAGTTTTTGTTTGTTTATTGTATTGATCATATTTAATCAGATTAAACTGAAGTGAAAGATAGAATGATTGTTCCATGGTTGGTTGAAGTTGTATCTAGATACTTCAGTAAAAGGCAGTCAGTTTTATTTTTTTACTGACCAGCATACGACTCAAAAGACCTTACCAAACTGAAACAATGCATTGCACCTAGTTTTTTATGTTCAGTATTACAGATAAGTTTACAAGGGTAACCTTCGCCCATAGGTTTATTTGATCAATATATTTTAAAAGGAAAATGATGGAAATATTTCCATGGAATTCCATGGAAAAAACCCATCATGGAATATATTTCCATGGAATACCATGGAAAAATAGTGTGGAATATATTTCCATGGAATTCCGTGGAAAATATTTCCATAGAATTCCATGGAAAATGATTTAAGATGGAAGCATTATTTTTTCCTTTTTTCTCTTTATTTTCCATGGAATTCCATAGAAAACAGGTTCCAATACTCCATGGAATTCCATGGAAAAAATATTTAATGGAATTCCATGGATTTCCATGATAGACAATGGAAAATCTAGGGATGGGAAAATCAGGCCGTTGGTTTTTTCATTTGATTTTTTTAAAAACTTATCATTTTGGGGCCCTTTGCAGTGTGGGATTTTGCTCCGTGTTGAAGCCATAGGGTGAACTATAATTTCTAACTTCAACATCATTTGGTCTCTGGTGGAGAGTTGTCATATTGGCAATCATACCACATCTTACTTTTATACGACAACAAACGGTCTGTTTAAACAATATTATTTTATCAATAACATGTGTGATTATTGACACCATCACATATGTGCATTGCTTCTAGTTACATGAATAAAGTTGAAAATAAAAGTCAAGATTCAAAAAAGTTTTTTTATTTTAATTTATGAACCAAAGAAATAAATATTTCTAGTTGTAAGTACCATCGGGATATGATAAGCTTCATATGTTCATACATGATTGTTGACAGCGCCAGACCGTAGTGTATGTTCACATAAAAATAGTTCCATCATCACGTATGTTACTATTAAGTGATAAAAATTTATTTACATGTTTTTCGGTACTGATCGAAATTCCAAGTTACAGACGAGAAATCAACACCGAGTTAATAAACATTCTAGAAGGAATTTTCTGCACGTATCCCGAAATTGGCAGTAACATATACAATCTAAAACAATTGTGATGTTTGACTTTCAATATTATGGTCAAGAATCACAAACGAAAAAAAGTCAAACAGTCAAATCACAATCGTACACATCCCCTAATGAGGTCCTCGTGGTCTTAGCGTACTTTGGTATTTGGCAAAAGACGTATATTCTTTGTTTTCAAGAACTACATATTACATGATATATAAACATGTATAAGACAATTCTACGGAGCCCCGCTAGGGACATGCAAAGAAAAAATTATATATAAATATAAAGATAAAAATAATTTATTGTGCGCACAACTTACACATATTGTGCGCTCAAATTCATTGATCTTACACATGGTATGGCGCTTTAATGTCTCCTTTTCAATGTGACAGAATGGAGAAATACATAAAGGTTTATTTTGAAATGGGGTTAGATTACATGGAAATACTCGCACTTTTAGCAAAAAATCATCACTGCATTGTTTCTAATCGACACCTGAAACGAATACTGAAGAAGCTACGTTTATTCCGTCGAAAACACTACAAGCCACTTGAAGATGTCGTTTCTTTCATCAAAGAAAACATTAAGGGAACTGGAAGTCTTCATTGTTACCGCTAGATGTTTATGAAATGTAGACCAGCAGGTTTAACTATACAAAAAGAGTGTGTGCGAATTTTGATGCAAATCATAAACCCTGAAGGAGTTGAAATGCGACGAAAAGGTCGATTACCTAGGAGAGAATATTGTTCGAAAGGGCCAAACTTCATATGGCATTTGGATTCCTATGATAAACTCAAACCTTTTGGAATATACATAAATGGGTGCATAGATGGCTTTTCTCGACTGATAATATGGTTGGAGGCCGGACAGACTAGTAGCGACCCTCGGGTTATTTCAAGGTATTTTGTCAAAGCCATTCTTCAGAAAGGAGGACCTATGGTGATGAGA